TACATGCATTTTTGGTGAAGAATCTGATGAATGAATGTTATTAATTTTACAACATAATTGGCAAAAAAATGCACTTGTTGAAGAGCACTTGTTCACTTCTGATTTACTGGTATGTAAATATTTATTAGAATCATATCCTTCAATATTAGATACTTGTGTGTTAAAATCTTAATAAATGCCTGTCATCACCCTTAACTTTCCATGTAATGTGTTGAAGTGCAGATGGCACCCTCAACTCGCTGATTATAGTTACGCACATACATGCAGTTGATTTAATTATTCCAGTGACATATGTGTAAGTTTTGTTTGCATTGACTTTACTGAGGTGGACACTGATTGGCTGCTGCAGACAATATTCATGTGTTTGCTCTAACTAGCATTTAGCATATAAAATGACCAGGAATAGCTGGACAATTACTGTACTGTGATTATGCTAATTTGAAATTATTAATTATAATTTGAAATTATTTGAAAATTATTAATTATAAAATTATTTTTGCAAATGAGAAACAATGAAGTTTATGGATGAAAAATCAAACAAACTATTATTGATTGTTATCAAACAAAACTTTGTTTCTACTGCTCAGAAATAATTTAAACATTTCTGTTTTTTTTTTTCAGTCTTCACCAAGAGGTAATGGCACAGAGAGCACTCGATAGAAGGCTAACAGAAGAACTTCTCCGATTTAAAACGAATATTTCGGATTTAACAAAGTATGTATAATGAAATATGGGCTTGCAATTGAATTATTCAAGATTAGATAATTGATGATAGATGTATATAACTCCAAATCCTGTAAGCATGAATGTATTGTATTAAGGAATATAGTTATATAATCATCATGTTTCTGATCAAATCTGATGTATGTATGTATTTTTTTAATTCATTTATTTTTATTTTTACTACATTTTTTATTACTTTGTAATTTTGTTATTTTTTTTACATACATGATCTTATTTTAGGTTATTAGTTCCCGTTCGGATGAAGTCCGAAAACGGGAACTTATAATTCGGTTTCCGTCCGTCCGTGCGTCCGTCCGTCCGGAGTCATATTTCAGAATCCCTTGGACCGGTTCTGTTCATTCTTTGCCTGTGCCTAGTACTTTATGTAGGACATATGCACATGCAGTGGTTTAGCGATTCGATTCAAAATGGCCAACTGGCAGTCATCTTGTTTTTTGAAAATGTTGTATTTTGGACATGCTTTGTCAGTTTTCATTCAAATTTAGTACATAGATTATACTTGTTAGGATACATGTCCATAATGATTTATTTCACAATTGAATCAAAGATGGCCGACTGGCAGCCATCTTGTTTTTTGAAAATGTTGTTTTTTGGACATGCTTTGTCAGTTTTCATTCAAATTTAGTACATATATCATACAGGTTAGGATACATGTCCCCTACCGTCCGTGAGTTCCTGAGTTTGTCCGTGCGTCAGTCTGTCCGTGCGCCAGTCTGTCCAGCGTCATATTTCAGAATCCTGTGGACCGATTCCGTTCATTCTTTGCCTGTGCCTAGTACCTTATGTGGGACATATGCACATGCAGTGGTTTAGCGATTTGATTCAAGATGGTCGACTGGCAGCCATCTTGTTTTTTGAAAATGTTGTATTTTGGACACGCTTTGTCAGTTGTCATTCAAACTTG